GCCCAAATTTTCCAGGCCGACCATAGATATCAGGTGTGCGTTGGCAGGGGATCGAACCTCGGACCATGTGCATGGTCGGCGAGAGTCCTGACCACTGTGCCACGACTGCCCATAGGCTTTTACTTCCACATCACACGATGATTTCCATGTCACAGTAGAACTCTCAGCTCCTCGTTTTCTACTCGGCCTGCACTCGGAGGCCTGGCCATATGATGTTGCGTGAATGTCCCTTCACTGTGTGTCCAATCCATCTCCATTTCTTTCTGCCTTTATATTAGTCGATGGGTATGGGTTGGTTCGTTCCCAGAGTTCTTCGATACTTATCCCTTCCGACCAGTCGCCTGATCATTAGTACAGAGCCAGCGAAGGCAGCTGCTGATGAAAGTCTGCAGTGGAATTTTGGAAATGCTTGAGGTGGCACGTGTGCCATTTGGAAGAACTGACTGCTTTGACACTGGTGTTAAAAATCCCAATCTTGTTCAGCAGATATCTACATTGACTTCAGATTAATGAAGATCTGCCTTGCCTTACTGATCCTAGTTTTCTTTAACATCTTCATATGTACATCATGTAGTTGAAACGGTGACCTAAACAAGTGAAAGAGATGGTTCCCTTCAAATATCTCCCGTTGGTAGTGGTTAGTGCTTGTTGTTGTTGCTTTTGTTGGTTGGTTATCTTCATCACCTCTGTTTTCTCTATGTTCATCTGAAATTATGTTTCCACTGCTTGCTTGTTGGTTTTCACCTATAAATCGTCGATTTTGTATGACACGTCATCCACGAAGTCCAAATGTTCTATAGTCTCCCTGTTTGCATAACGTATAGCCTGTTTTGTTTTATTTGATGACCACTTATTTGGTGTAGTTGCGTTCGCACTGCTGTGACGGTTTGATTTCGAAACTTTGATTATCCTCTGAACCTTAGCATTGTTATCCCGAGAGGCAGTGATATTATTCATGCGGAATTACCCCCTAAAAAGACTCACTTCACTTTGAAGGAAGTTCTGAATATGTTGTGTATGAAGAGAATGAAAGCTTCTCAATTAAGTCACGCACTATCGCGCATAACCTCTCCTTTTCTCACATGATTTCCACCATATCACCCTCTAACGTCTAATTACTCCTTTCCCATTCAGGTTCCACTCGGTTGACGACCTGGCGCATTATGTCACTCAGTGGTCTCCTCACCGTGTATCCAATCCACCTCCATTTTTCCGTACATTTGTTGAGCAATGTGTTCTCGGTTGTTAGATGTATATAGAGATAGATACTAGCGATAGTCTAACTTTTAAACAATTTCAAGTTATACTTTAGTTGTAGTATATCAGTGTGCCTTGTGATACAGGTAAGAATTTGTAATTAGTATATGGGTAACGTTTTCCGCAAGAATCCTTACACAGCCTAGTGGTGGCGAAGATAAGAGTGATGAAGATTCTTGTGTATGATTGAGAAGATTTGTAGCTCAGGTGGATGATTTTAATGTAGTTGTGTATTCTGAGCTAGATAGTTTATTCGCGAAGCTTTCATTGCCATACTAGGCAACATCTTCAGCGCATACTTCAAAAGATTCTTGTGTAGAAAGCATGGAATAAACACACAAGAAGCAAAGCTTTTCACACTCATTCGGTTGATTGTTCACTTGGGTCTCTATACTTTGGTCTTGCCGACTAAATTATAACAGTAGATCTTCTACACTTTACTGTACAGTAATTAGGTTGAATTGTTCAGTATGACAAAACATACAATAACTTCTAAACTCCATTGTCGCTGCTCTCAGATCGAGTCAACTTCCAAGAATAGTTGTTTATTATTTAAACAGACATTCGATTTATATTACACTGCTGAGTGGTAACAAAAGTCATAAATTTGTGTCTACACCAATGTAAAGTCTCAGCTGAGAATCAAAACGTTATGCGATACAATTGATGTTATTGACAAATGAGACTTTTAAGGATTATTTGCGACATTTATTGGTTAAAAATTGCTTACTTAATAATAATAAGTAGTGTACTTTGGATTTTAAAATTGTTTCTGATCTACTTACGTTAAAGGTATCCTTACAGGTTGAAAAGCGAAAACTATGTCTTGGAAAAACAAAACAATTGATGTTTACATGTAAAATAAGATTCTGGTCACGAGAGATTTGAATTTTGAATATCGAGTCCGGCACTTTACTTGACTAGTGGCGGCTAGCAGCTAAATCTAGGATAAATTCGTTGTCTTATTAACAATTTTTCGGCTGGCTGTACCTGCATCCTCACTGAGTGTCACTGTTCCCAGCAGTAGTATTTGTTGATGCGTTGTTTGAGTCAATTACTGAAGATGCAGCTACACTCAGCTGATTGGTCCCAAATAGGGCGAAACACGTCTTGGATTCCGAAATTAGTCACCATCAATCAAATAACACCGTGTTTATCCCAAGACATTATCATAGCCTCCGTACTAGCAGTTGACATGTTAACACAGACCAGGCATTATGAATTATTTACAATAATCCTATCATCTCTAAGAAAAAGTCGTAAGAAAATTTTTCTGAACGTTTCGTTGTGTAAGCCACAGGTCCTTCAGCAGAATTATTATACCTGGGACAGTTCAAAGTGAGAATAATTACAATTCCTCGACATAAGGCGAGGATATACATCTTGAGTAAACAAAACGAAAAATAAGTAGGGCTTAAGTAGGAATGGGAAGTATGATACTATAGCATAGGCGGATTAAGACCATGAGAGTTGGAGTGGTTGGAGAAACTTTCCCTGTATACAGAGGTGTCTAACCAAAGCTTCAGTAATACAGATGAGTGGGAGACATAATGATTTGGGTAAGTTATTTTTTGCCTCAGTGAGATAACTTTAGAGGAATAGGTTGTTCAGATAGGATGGCGAATATTGACGAGATGTTCAATATTTGCACCACTTCCACATCTTCGTAACCAGACTCAGGATAGTGTTCACGTGGGCTGATATACAGTTATAATGCCTTGCACTAATTATTTTATATCTCAGTGGAGTGTCAATTATTGCATTGGCTAAAATGAAAATATAGTGAATTGTTACAACCGAAATGTCTCCCGACTAAATTGGTTACTTGAATGAATATTCGCATAATTTATCCATCAGAAGAAAAATAATTAGAGCGTAGAATTGTTTTCAATAAATTCTTTCATCCTGAGACTCTACAATTATAAATGCATTAATTTTAGCATGTGCGTCGCTGGCACGGCGGTTAGGACGCTCGCCGACCATGCACATGGTCCGAGGTTCGATCGCCGACCGACGAACTCCTTTACCTCGCTAAGGCAGAAAAAATGCTGGTAAAGAGGGAAGGTTGGGCATGAGGCTAACAACCCCATCCTGTAAAAGTAAACACTGATACAGAAACTTCAAGCCACTAGGTTGAAGCCCTATGTTCCACTGGGTATGTAAAGGAAAATTATATAAATTTTAGCATATAGCGGTTCCAGCCAATGGGAATTAGAATTATGTGAGAAAAGGTGTTACATGTGGTACAAGTAGAAGATGGAACAATAGTCCGTCTGTTAGTTTTGATTACCATTTGAAATATGTGAGAAGATCAGATCAAATGAAATGAAATAGTTGAATATTGTATATATGTGTATATGTACATCCATAATGTGTCAGGAGTTCAGAGGTAGAACACTCGCCAACCATGCATATAATCCGACGTCAATCCCCGGATGATGCACTCCTGAACCTCGTTAAGCTGATAATGAGGGAAGGTTGGGCATGGGGCTAGCAACCCCACCCTATATAAACAAAGCCACTGCTACCGAAACCTCATAGCTCTAGCTTGAAGCCTTGTGCTCCACTTGAAAAGTAAAGGAATAACATATATATATATATATATATATATATATATATATATATATATATATATATATATATATAGTCCATAAAGGTACAGGATTGTGAGAGACAATGCGAATACTACAAGGAAATAAATCGACTATTCGTATAGACCAGATATCAGTTCAAGGTTGATGAAATCGTATGAATGGTGTTGTATAGACTTAAAAGTAGCACCGATGGAAGGTTATCAGGTAATACTGAATTTAATGAAGGGAAATGAACAAGATTGTATAATTATGATAACTTAGGGTAGTAGAGATAACGAGAAATGTCATAAAGTTGTGAAAAATATTAAGTAAATATTTGTCGATGAAACAAAGGAAAAAAGAAGAGAAAAGAAAAAAAGGTGGGATAGTAATTTGAAGCGTCAATGATTTTGGAGGGTTTTTTCACCTTATTATAGACCGAGGTAAACATAGACATACTCCATCTGCGTACAGAGACTAGGTCTTCTGGTATCGACAACTCTCTCCCTGCTGTTGACAGGCGTTACCAAGCTCCCCTAGATAGATTAACAGAAACGCAGTAGATAACTGAGAACGTCTTTTGTGGTTTTATTGAGTGCCCAGTAGTATCTACCGAGTGGACTAAGACTGCACTATTTACACATCTGGTTTTCCCTTTACTCAACCATTCAGGTACGTGTTCGTGTAGTCATAGATGGATAAAGCCCTCTGAGTACGATCAATGTAACTAGCTGTACATGTGTAGTTGAATTTTCTAAATGCACATTAATGAGGCCATCTTTGGTAGTTTATCCTTGACTCATTGTGTGAATACTGTTGACTACTTCAACAGGCATTCTAAAATGTTGATATAATGAATCAATAGAGAGAATATTCCTTGAGGGTGAACTAGTACTCACTCACTTCCTGAACTTAACCGTTTACATATGATTATGAGCAATAAATTGTGTTTGAACTGTATTATATTATATTAAATAAACTTACCGAATATAGAAGTATATTCTATCACAATACATAAATTCTACTCGGATACTTGTGTGAAAAAAGTGATATCTGTCAGTGGGTTTCAAAATTCTGTCGACATGCGTATTTATTATAGACATCCATGCGAAATGATGACTATTCACTTATTTTGTTCTTTCCTCTTTATTTTTAAACCTATTGTTTCAGGGTTATTCTGCTCCATTGATTGATGCAAAAATTCAAGAAGCTTTAGCCAGTAATGAAGCTGATCCACCAAGATTTTATTGTCGACCATGTCCACCTGGCTGCTCAGAGTGTAAAGCGAATAAACTTTGCAGTGCACAATTTGATTACAATCTACTTCGAGCTATTCCATTAGCTTTTCAAAGTTTTTGTATTACAATTTGTCTACTATTTGGTATGGCAATGTTTAAAATACGTAGAGCACGAGTAAGTCAGTATTTACCCAGCCTTATTTAACTCTCTGTTGAAATATTTGATTTCCTTTTACCGTTCACAGCAGATTAATTTTATTGCATTCATTCCTTTGAGTCCTGAGTGGAACATATGGTTTCTAGTTTCAGAGCTGAAGCTTAATAAACAACGTCTTCAACGACATCAAATTCACAAGAGAGGAGAAATTTGAGGACACAATCCCATTTTCAGACGTCTAAGTCAAGCGAACAATCACAGGAAAATTAGAAACTCAGGTTTATAGAAAGTCAACCCACACAGATCAAATACTCAATTACAACAGCAACAGTTCAATAACACACAAAAGGAGCTATATACAATCGCTATTCAAGAGGGCCAGAACTCATTGCAACACTGCCATCTTAAGGAAAACTGAAGAAAAATATCTCATGGACGTCTTCAAATAGAATGGAAATCCACGAAACTTCATTAAAAGAAATCTACTCTCAAGTCAACCTACCGAAGCAAAGGCCCCCAAGGAAAACACAGAGGAAATCAGCCTACCATATATGAAAGGCTTCTCAGATATCACTGCGGGACTCTTCAAACCTTTAGGAATTGATGTCGCACATGAACAGACAAAATCACTCCACTCAGTTCTTTATCAACCAAAAGACTCAACAGAGAAAGAAGATAAAACCAACATCATCTACAAAATAAATTGTAACAACTGTGAAAAACACTAAATTGGCCAAAGTGAACGTCCGCTTAGTCTTTGTATCCATAAACACAAACTAGCTATCAAAAGACATGACATCCACTACCTCATATTGCTGCATACAGACAACTACGGACATCAGTTCGACCGGGATGACGTTCAAATATTAGACAGAGGAAACATTAAGAATGCTAGGGAGTTTTTAGTAACCTGATATTCCAGTGAGCCGTCAGTCAATAGACTCATCGCCGTAGACAAAATTTACCAATCGGTAAGACGGGAATCTCATATACAAGAGTCAAAATTAAGGTAAAGGAAACAATCAGTACCGTTACAAGCGGCCTAAAGAATGTGAAAACGCAGGAGAGCAACCAATCACGTTCAAGGTTACCAGGGGAGATGACTAATAAACTCGCGGAACAATCTTAAAGCTCACTTCAACAAATTGAAGTATTTGCTGAAGATGTTGCCTAGTGAAAGAAGTGAAAGCTTTTCAAATAAAACATCTAGCTCAGAGAACACAACTACATCAAAATCATTCACCTGCTGTACAAATCTTCTCCATCACATCTACATCTAGTTTCCGAAGAAAGAGTATATTTGTGCACTCAAGTGAACAAATAAACTAGCAGTATAGAAGTCTTAGACAAGAAGAAAAAGAAGAGATAAGACAAGGAATTGCTCTTTACGGGCACCTAGGAGCTGATCGAGGAGAGAAAGATGGTGATAGAGAAGCTGAGTATAACCATAGAGATCTGAATAGAGGAGTGAATAAGAGTGCGACAAAGCATAGAAGACTCATTTAAGACTCACTAACAACTGAGGCAGAACAGAGTACAGGTGATAGAGACCTCACAACACAGGCAGAAGGGAATAGAACTAGATTTGATATACACTGAGGAGGCTTTCAGGTGGTGACACTACACACCAAGCAGGGCTTCAAGTGGAACCCAAAAGAGAATCGCTGAATTGGGTGTCCCAGGGTGACCAGAGATGATCATGTGAAGAGGAAATGAGAGCTTGTGAGCAGTTGTGTAGCCGGCTAAAAGTGAAAGCAGGGAATTTAATTGAATGAAAATGTGCTTCTGTATCCCTATGTAAATACCTGCACACCCAATAAGATGTGAAAGAAAAGTGAAGCGCGAAATGAAAATAATTTTGTCGAACATCATAGTGAGGTATAAAAAAAGAGGATAAAAAGTGAAACAAATAAACATATAAATAAATTGAATGCTTCTGTCATGAGATGAAGATGTATCATCTACGCTGCTTTGCCGAATCATGTATGGATATAACAACCTGTAGTTCTTGACCATAGAATGTGGCAGAAGTTTAGAATTCGAACAGGCATTCCTCACTTTTCTACCCGCTTCAAACCAACGACTAGTGCACAAAACAGGACTAATATCCTTGATTATCAATGTATTAAGAGTTTTCAGGAATATAGATTCCTCTCTAACTGCCTTACTCGTTTCACGCAGCAGTAGATATTTTTTAAAAAGTGTGTTTCTACCCTGATTGCGGATTATTATTAGATTTTGAGGGTAATTACTTTTGCCATATGAATATGAAAAACTTCCGTTAACAGGAGTCAATAGATCAAAGAAGGAGCATAATTTGCAGCGGAAGAAACTTACGGAAAAATATATTTTCAAGGGTTGTTGTTTTATAGGAAAAGGTTTGACTTCAAGTTCGATCACAATCTGGCAACAGTTAAAGAAACATTGAAAACCATGGTGTATTGGAGTTATATTAAGATGGGGGATGACCAGTAAACTCTATCAAGTCTGGTGTTAGAACAGGTTTTCACCGATGATATTATCTAGCGGTAGTGTTTTATGTATCGAGAATCAGTAGGAGTTAGAATTCATGGGCTGTTGGATTCCCCCTCTCACTGGCAGAATGATCAATGCACTCCCCTCGTAACCTGAAGATTTTGAGTCCGATCCCTGGTGGTGTAATGAATGTGTACGGATGAAGAGTTCCAAACTAGGACGAAATAGCTGTCCAATACTCTGCGGTTTTTCTATAGTTTTCTAATTGATATTAGTTCATGATCAGACTTGTAAAGAATGTTCCTTGCTCACTAATTAATGTATTACGATGCTGTGCATGAATTTTTCTCGTTTGAATACCTTTATTCTTACTCTTTTTACAAATATTTTAATTCTTCTAGGTAGTTAAAAGTGCTAATCTTGTGCTCATGGAAATAATGCTTGTAGGAGCGATTCTCTTGTATTCAACAGTGAGTTTAAACATTTTAATTCAACTATTGTTAGTATTTAAAATTATTAGGTAACCTTACTGGTGTGTAGCTTGAGTTAACAACTCCGACTCTGTTAATTCATTTCAGGCTTTTATGATGGGGTTGTTATACTTGTAAAATCTGTGGAGAAGACTCAGTCGATAGGAAATCCCTGATTGATTCAGATCACATACTTGTCAGCTCTCACTAGCAAGATATATCTGCAGTAATGACATAACTCATATATCCCCTTTCCTTATTGGATCTTTGTCACGAGTGATAAAGCTTACTGGTAATCACTAACATGTAGGAAAACTTAATCAAACACTAACTCCTACCCAAATTCTGCTACACATCGCGGTGTGCCACAGGGCACATCGATGTCAGAAGCGGAGTTAGAAAGGTAAGGAAGACCTTCATTTGTTTTATATCTGTGTGGACATCGGTTGCATAGAGAATAAGATTCGGATTTTCGATACTATTGTCAAGTCATTGAATGCTTTTATATGGATCAGCTTGTTGCAGACTTCCATCGACAACTGCCTATGTTCGATATTGATGATCATGTGGCTCGCTGGAAAAGATTGACAATAAGGAACTTTGATAATGAACCAAGCGCCTATTGACCAATAAATGTGCTAGAGACAAAGAAGATGGAGTAGACATACGCTGAGGAGTTCACTGAGCCCTCGCGTAGAACCCGGATGGGAAACAACGTATTGGACGTCCGAGAGTATGATATGAAGGAGATTATGTGAGGAGATAAAGGCTTATGGGAAATTGTGAACCCCACTGAAAACGGCTGCAGAGAATAGGATGAATTGGAGAAGTCCTATGTTCCATTCGGAACTCAGGGGATTAGTACTAGTAAATGGTGCACATCACTGTCGTTTCAATTAGATTAGTGTAAGTGTACTATATACTTCCTCAGTGTGCCTTGATCTCCAGAATTAAATATTTACAAATGTATTGTTTAATAAATGAAGACCATTCAGCATATTTCTGTAGTATTTGAAAGTCAGGTACAGGTAAGTGTGACCAATGTCATGTGTCTAGTCTATCACTCAGATTTCGAATATGGTCACCAGACTAGGTGACTGACTGTTGAGCTGGAGTGAATCGGTTATGCTTCTACTGGAGATTGATTGTAAGCCTAAATAGTCCACTGATTATGTCTCTGACTGAATGACCCAAGTTCGAGTCTCTGAGTGGGAATTGTTGCGCACTGGACCTGACTCCTATCTACATACTATAATGCAATCACATCGCGTTCTATAGTGTGCTGAACACTGTGTATGATCAAATACCAACAACGTTGTATTAAAAGGCACAAGTGAGAACTTGATGAAGTGTATTGTTGTTGGGGCCCGGGAAACCCTGGTTACGAACCTACAGTGTACATTGGCTCCATAACCCGGACGTATCAAATGGCATATGAAGTTATTTTGATCACTGGGAGCCATGGGAATGCAGCTCATGACGCTACTCCACTGCTTTGTGGATCAGGCTTCAATTCACAGGCTCGTGAGTAGTCCCTTAGGAGAGCCGCTTGCTTCGATCTGAGCTCCCGGGCAATATTCTAGTCGTCGCGCATCTCTTGGTCCTTATGTGATATATCAAGTTTTTTGTGTTTTTCATAATAATATTTTACGATAGTAGTGATTAAACTGTTTCCTAGCTTTAAGTAATTCTTTAACTTATGTAGGCTCGTGTTTTAGGTAAAATCTGCATAATATCAGTTGTTTGAAACAATACATCTATTAGCCACAAGGGATTACCTCAAAATGCCCATTGTTTTATATCACGCTTATATTCAAGTGACACTCCATCTACCTTAGTTTAGGTAAGTGGGTAGATGAGTAATATGTTCTAGGCAATTGGGTTCAAATAACAGTGTGTTACGTTTAAAAACCAAATTTTTTAATATTTTGAACAAAATGGGATACAATTAAGAAGATATATTACTGTTGTTTTACTCTTTTGTCTAGATTGTCGTTATGTACTTTCCAGTTACTGATATTTCATGCCTTATTCTTCCGTGGTTTCGTGAAGTTGGCTTCTCTGTTATGTATGGTGTATTAATTGTAAAAATTTACAGGTGAGTTTGAATTGTTTGATTTTTTTTATTATTTTATTCTGCTTATCTTATTAAATGGTTCATCTCAGGCGTATAGAAGCTTTTGACATCTTCTCTGGTTCTATTCAGTTGTTTTATTGGTGTAGGTACTTGACATTCTTTCTGAACATTTTTCCCCATGTTATGTTGCTAATGTTGTTGGTCGTATTTTTTTCCATAAGTGTTTAATATCTGAAAGTTAATTTACATTTTCCTGTCGATTGATTATTATTGCACTGAAATGTTGGGTCTCTGTTGACATACCAGCTCCTACGCTGAACACGTCAACGATTCCTGAAGGTGGTGAACCTGCTGTTATTAGGCTGGTGATAGCTAGTGGTGGTGAAATCAGTGACGTCCTACTTTGGACTCGTCAAACAGTGATGATAGTGTTCCCATTATAAGTCGAAACGAACATTCATTATCATCCTTGCATTCCTAAGGCAAAATAGGGCTTCGGCAGTGCATCTTTGCTCCGCTCGTTTCTCTCCCATCATTTTCAGATAGCTCTATGCCTACTCACAAGCTTTCATTTCTTCCTCATATTATCTCTTCCATGTTACACTCGGAATCAGGATCAGATCACCACTTCCCAAATGGGGTTCCACTCGATGGCCTACCTAGCTTGTGGTATTATCACTTGAATGCCTCCTCAGCGTATGTCTACCTTCATTTCCTTTTCATATATTTAAAACAATTAGTTCCCTTTATGAATTTAGATAAAGCAATAAGAAGACGTAATTTGTCTGAATCGTGTAATGTATTTGCGCAACACATTTCGAACAATCTGATCACACACGGACTTGTCATAAGAATGCATATATGAAATTAATAAAGAGTTAAGAGGTGAGAAAATAGACTTAGGTCAAGTTAAAAGGACATACTGAAGGTCAAAATAACAATGAGGACCACGAAACCAAATGAGAGCGGTAATAGTAGATCTACCCTGGTATCAAAACACAGTTTACGAAGGAAGGTTTAGTGTGATTCCGAATTGCTTTTGAACGAATAAGGGTGGTGTAAACTTCCTAATTGGTAGGGCTTCCATAAACTTTAGGCTACGCCCTTCCCGAAACATGTTCTATAGATAGGTTTAAAAGACGTATAAACATCAATTTTATGTCCTGTTTCTATAATATGCTTCGCAATAGAGGAGCTAGGTTTCCTGTTCTCATCATTAATGGGTTCTGAAGATACCATTTGCTTTTGGAGCCATTTAGGAATATGCTCTGAAGCCAGTCCTTACTTGCAGAGATCGATGGGTCCTCCCTATGTATGTATGTCCACACGTACATTCAAATTGGTGAATACAGTGGGATGTGACGTCATTTTTCGCATGTTCGAAGGGCTTAGATAGATATAATGGCCTTACATTCTCTGTTATTATTATTATTATATTAGCTGCATAAAAAGTTTTTTTAACAACAGCGTTCAGTCTTTGTCTAGTTATCAAGCTGCTTTGATGCCCCATATAGGGTAGCTTGATGTACACGTCTTTCTTAGGGGGCGGGTGAGTTGTAGAGTGGGTCTTGGTGTTCTGACTACTTTATATCTCCTGATGAACTTGTCTGGTTAATTGTTATCAACTAGAGTTTGTGTCAACTTTCTTTCTTCTTCATCAACTGTAACTTCAGTGCATATTCGTTGGATACTACTGAAGAAGCACCTTACTAAGGCTCTTTTGTACCGAACAGCACAGAAACTGTGGTAATTAAGATACTGTCCTGTCCAGGTAGGTTTCGTATAGATAGATCTTTTTATTGACCCATCAAGCCGTCGACTCAGCAGTATGTCTAAGAAAGATAAACAATTATCTTCCTCTTCTACAGATGTAAGTGATATGCTATTCTGAACTTCATTCATTCGATTTAAAGTTAAGGTGGCAGAACAAGACCTATCACTGGTGATTACAATATCATCTACATACCTTCTATAAAGTGGCACAGGAATAAGTAGAAGGAATAGTGTCCCGGGTTCGTTTCCTGGTTACGTCATGCGTTCACATTAGCGAAAAATATTAAGCTAGGATGGAACAGCTGAGTATTTTGGCAAGCGATTTCAGTTTACCTTGAAATCAATCAAATCTACACAAACACAAAAGTGTTTTCAACTTAGTTTTAATTTAATTTTTCCCGTTGATTGAAATATTCGGTCTCTGTATTGACATGTTAGACGCTAGGACGGACACTTTGACGATGTCTGAGGATTAACATATCATTTGGTTAAGATGATGACTAACAGTGAGACCCAGGATGCGCGTTGTGTCCTGCGTGAGACTCGTCAGGTGGATGTACTTTCATAAGCGGCAGCCGTTATGCCCCAGTTGGCGTCTAGTGGATGATGCTTTGGCGTTTGAATTGTTAGCTACTGGGTTCAGGTCACATTGGGAACACTACCACTCATTGGGGAGGGGGGTTACAGGTACATCCATTTGACGAGTCCTATGTGAATCCTGAATCCCTCGATCCAACAAATAACAACATGTTCCCAGCTTAGTTTTTCTTTGATGCTTCTAACTCTCTCTCTTTTTTTTTCTCTCCTCTCAAAACTTTGTCTTTCAGAGTTTTATCTGGTTTCCAGTCACGTAAAGCGCATCGTGTTCACGTGAGAGACAAAGATATTCTTAAGTATTTAGGCTTATTTATCATAATAACATTCACATATATGATTGCATGGACTGCAATCAATTTGGATTATATTAGTTCTAGTCCATGGGTTGGAGAAGATCATACAGTTATTAAAAGCATGAAACCCCTATCACCATCATCTACATCAGCTGTCAGTATGAAACAAGAAGGTTTTATCAAAGTTCCAAAACAGAATAACCGAAGTCATTTTGAAGAGTTGCATTCAAATAATTGGGATGCTAGTAATAATAATAATAATGGTAATGATAATAATCGGAATGGAAGTTTACAGAATCCTGCATATTTGGATAATTCAGATGATTCAATTGATATTATCACTTTTGAAGTATGTCGTGCTATGTCATGGGATGTTGTAGTTGAATTGGGTAAGTATGTGAATCCTCTCCTTATTCTTTTCGAAATAGACAGACGTTCTGCTTGCCTTTTTATGAAGTCATTTAAAGAATTTGTGAGCTGTAAGATTCTGTCTCATGATCTTGAAGGTCATGAGCTCGGTCCCCGATGGGGTCTTGACAGCGTACTGGTGAAGAGTAACGAACTAAGACGAAATAGTTGCCTGGTACTTCCTGATTTCCAATGATTCTCTAACTGATATCAATCCGTTATTAGATTTGAAAGTAATTGAATCCTTTCGAATCAACACATGAAGGCATCTAAAGAAAGTGCCTAGATGGTGGTATACTGTTGGTTACTTACAATGTAATTAATAATGGGTTGACATTTTGAGCACAACTCATTACTCAAAGTAATAAAATCATTGTATTCCCATAACTTCTTAAGTTGCTTTATGCAGCCTTATTCCCTCCTGTTATTTTTAAAGTGTAATTATCTGTGTCGTGAACTGGCAGAAGTTAGAATTCAAGGACCATTGGATCGGGTCCCAGTGGCTCAATGGTCTACGAGCTCGCCTTGTAACCAGAAGGTCCTGGGTTCGAATCCCGGTGGGTGCGTACTGCTGAGGAGTCCCAAACTAGGAAGAAACGGCTGTCCAGTACTCCCAGGTTTTCCAGTGGTTCTCTAACTGATGTCAGCTCATGATTAAATCCTCCATGCAATCAAACAAAATCCCTACAAAAACCAATACTTGAATATTGAATAAAACTGAAATTAGAGTGTTACTTAAATCAAGCAACCAACACACTTAGAGACAAACTTCGTCGGCTTATAGCACCGATAAATCCGTTTAAGAAATATAACTGCGAGGTCAGTTACAAAGGCCGCATTAGTTAAGTTATCGGAACCTTAACTGAGTTAATCAATGTAGAAAAAAGCTCGACCACTGCATTGCATGCACTAGATTGTCAGCCTAACGCCTACGCATCTGTAGTCAACTTACTCGTTCTCTGATTGGTAGATTCCACTTTCTCAAAAGAATAGATACTTAACAAAGAGTACTCTTTTTCGATAACCCCTTCATCACCAGGCTCTACAGTTATATATACATTATAGTGAATGAATTAGTATTATGAACAACATTAATCCTGTTTAAATAAAATCGAATCAATAATATAGATGGATAACAGCTCAATAGCATCAACATAAAATAAGGTGAATGTCAGAAAAATTAGGAAAGATAATATTACAAATTCATGAATTTATAGTCTCTACTGAAGGCTAGCCAGGGCAGTAGTAGTCGCTGGACTTGCTTCTTTTGAACACAGAGCACTGGTTGTTTGAGGCGAACTGCAATAGCCTCTGCTGTTTGGAGCATGTGGTGCTTCGATAATATTGGCAATTTATTAGGCACCCTGTAGATGATACAGAAGGATTCTTCCACACTGGCTTTGTGACCGGTTTGCACTAGATGGTCCAATATCGAACTGTTAATGATTTTAACTAAACCTTTACTTAGCCATAGTGGGATATGTTCTCGAGTGAGCACGAAAAATCAAGTTCCTAGAGCAATATAACTCGCCTCACAAGCGCACTTGAATTGGTAGATACAATTTGAAGTGGCTAGTCTAGGTACTTCATCTTTCAGTTGAGGTAGCACCATCGGTCGTGTAGAGAATAATACGTGTAGTTCGCCAGCATTAAAAGTTCTTTGAATTGATTTTCTTAATTTCTTCGCAATTATCTCTCTTGGTATATCGCCTTCGAATTGTAGTCGTATATAAAGTGGCTTCTTGTTTACAGATGGTGAGTAGTCCTTTTTCGCATTCTTTGTCATGTGTTTATTGATAAATTTGTCGGGATAGCTATTTTCGATCAAAGTATCATATACAATGCTTAATTCACCTTCTGTTATTTCTTCTGAGTATATAGCTCTAAATTTGTGGCTGAGGGTCTTCACTAAATTTCTTTTGTACTTGATATGAACGAAGATGTGAAAATGTGTATATAATGTCCTGTCCAGGTACTTTTTCTATGAAAATTTTTTTATGCTATCATCTGGTTTTCTTGTAAGTAGGACATCCAGGAAGGCAATTCTGTCTTGGGATTCCTCTTCGCATGTGAATTTCATAGCCGAATGTACTTCATTGAATTCAGTAATTATTGTACTCTTATCAGAACCATTATCACAAAGAATTAAGGTATCATCCATATATCGGCAATAAAATGAGAGCTTACTGATAAGGTTGTTCAAAAGTCCATTTTCTAGCTTACTTAGAAAGAAGTCAGCCAGAATGGGACTCAATGGGGAGCCCATCGCCATCCTGTCCACTTGCCTGTAAAGCATGCCGTCAAATTTGAAGTTTAAAATTTTCATGGTACGCCTTAATAACAATTCTCTTAGGATTTCAGTATGGATACCAATGTTTATCGACAGCTTGTCCACTTGTTCACCTATGTAATTAACTGTTTCTATTAGAGAGGTACATTTGTGAATAACGATGTTATGTCCAGACATCATGGTTTTGTCCCTGATATGAATATCATTTATTTTGTCTACGAGTTCAAATATATCTTTGACGCTATATTTCACTATCTTGTCATGCAAAAGTTTGAGAATGTGTTTACTAACCATCTAGCTAGCTAGAGCAGTTTGCTGAAAATTATTCAGTCAGTCGATTATAGGGATTATCTACTGTTGCGTACAACAATTGTAAGAATCATATGACAATGTTATTATTATTGTTGTTATTGCAAATACCAAACCTTTGTGATCTGCACTTCAGCAACTGTCATGTCCTAAGTAAACTAACTATGTCATAACAAGAGAGAAAAAAGAAGACCAAAACATTGTTACCTGTCTGATTATAAAATTAGGATGATAAAGACAATGTTGGCTTTGTGACAAATTTTATATGAGGGAAACAGTGATGATAACGAATCTTGCGTTTTCTTTAATAAAGTTGCATAATTCAATTTTCGACTCCTTACTTTCCGAGTGGTACAGAGCGTTTAGGCAACACATTCCCATTTGAATAGATCTTTTGCTATTTTTATTTTATATATATATTTTTTTATTTTTGATTACAGCTTGATTCCACACCGTATTTTTTGGTACAGGTATGAAATTTTCAGCATGTGATGTCGGTCGCCCAAATTTTACAGGTCGACCATAGATATCAGTTGTGCGTCGGCAGGGGATCGAACCCCAGACCATGTGCATGATCGTTGTGCTACCGACGCAGATATTTGGTTGCATGATTAGTCCAAAACCTTTCATTTCCTCACCTCATGATCTCGCCCACTTCATCACTCTCGGACACATGTCCAACTCATCATTCCTCAATTGGGTCTCACGTGATGGCCGTGCTGGTGTGTTATGTAACTTGAGTGTCTCATCATCTCATGTCTGATTCGTCTCTTATTTCATTCCGCATATCGGATTCGTTGTCAGAGTTCACTTTTGCTTGGTTATCCTTTCTGATTGACCATCTCATCTTCACTATCGAGCCAGTGGTGAAAGTCTTCAGCAGACTCTTGGAAATGCCTTCGATGACTCAATCGCGAAGTCTGGGGACCGTATAGATAGCGTGAAGCAGGAAGCTGTAAACAGTTGTCAGTTTTGCAATTGATAGTGTTCTCTGAGCTCCTTGGTTTAATTGCGGAGCTTTCATCGTCTTTCTGGACGACATCTTCAGCGCAGTATTTAGGAAAGCTCCGCAATTAAACCAAGGAGCTCAGAGAACACTATCAATTGCAAATCATCCACCTGAGTTACAAATCTTTTCTATTAGTTGTCAGTTTTTTTTCAGCATCTCAAGTGTATCCAATTGATGATTGTCAACTGGATAGAGAGAAGTTTGTCATTTGACTTAGGCTGTTCTTGAATTAATGTTTATGTACTTTAATTTGGTGAAGTCGGTTTTTAGTCAAAATGACCAGCAGAATTCGGGTTTAGATTAGACTTTTATTGTCCACTTTTTCACGTTTTTATTAATACCAGTTGATTTCACATTTATAGCAAGTTGTACTCACTATCCACTTTCATCCAGGAATCTGTTTATCCTTGAATGGTATTGATAAAACTCTAAAGCTGAAAATCCTTTTCATGTTAAGTTGTATCGCTTTTTTCCCCGAAATTATCTTTGGGGCCTCCAAGTGAGGCGGCGGTTAAGTGGTAGAATGCTAGCCAATCTCATACGTACGTGGTTCAAGCCGATGCACTCCTGAACCTTACCTAGCCGGGCAGTAAAAACCTGGTAAAGAGAGAAGGTTGGGCGTGGGACTAGCGGTGGAAATTCAAAACTCAAGCTTGTTCTACTTGGAACGCAAAGGAATAAAGAGGGAGAACAGTTAGTCAGTATTGATTGTGACTTGAATAAGTTAAGAGTAGAGATCCAGTAAGGTAGAATGTTGTGCATCGGTGGCACAGAAGTAGAATGCTCTTCAACCATGTAGGTGGTTTGGGGTTGAATCCCCGGACAACTCACTCTCCTACCTCTCTAAGCCAATAATAAGACTGGTAAAGGGGGAAGGTTGAGGATGAGGCTTGCAACCGCATCCAGTAAAAATAAAAACACCACTGCTACCGAAACTTTAAGCCTCTACATTGAAGCCCTATGTTCCACTAGGGAACGTAAAGGAATAAAAATGAGTAGAAAGTTGGTCTATCAAGATGAAATACGTATCTGTGTGTGTTTGTGTGTGAGGGCATGTTGTTCATTTTATTGTACGATTTCATAATGAATAATTCAGTCAATTTTCATTCTTATGTTTTCGCTTAATTTTTTTTTACCACAGCTGAATTCATTATTTTGGCGATCAGTATTCATTACTGTCGGTTAGTTCGCACAGCTCCAACAGAATACAATGAAACTCAATATATTAGTGTAGCATTAATCATTGAAATGACGGTATCTGGTTTATTACATTTACTAAGGTAAGCCGATGTTATAATCGTAATTTTATACATATAACTATACTGCTCGCAAATGATATAAGTAGTAAAACCAGATTATTAAAATAATAGTAGAACTAGCTGATAGCACAGCATACTCAGCAATGTTCTATAGCGAAGTATTTACTCTTTGGGTAGAATGTGAAAGTGTAGTAATAATCGATAATAATATAACATTTGAAGCAATATTTATGTTCTATCTGAAGAACGCTCATATAACCTGCAGTGTTTTTCCTCTATTTCTTTTGAAAAATCCATAATACGTGGATTGAAACTCAATTGGAAAGTGAGCACGCCTACAAATTTTGGTTCAAGAATGTCATTGAATAACTAAAGACGCATGAAATACAGTAAATATGATGCATTCTTGTTTGTGGAGAATTAGGTAACTCAGTGGTTTACTCAGATATCAGTTATTCAGTATCAATGATAGATAAATGTTTTCAAGTATTGGTTTTGTAGGGGTTTTGTTTGATTGCATGGAGGATTTAATCATGAGCTGACATCAGTTAGAGAACCAGTGGAAAACCTGGGAGTACTGGACAGCCGTTTCTTCCTAGTTTGGAACTCTTCAGCAGTGCACGCACACCGTCAGGGGTCGAACCCAGGACCTTCTGATTACAAGACTAGCGAGCCCGTTGACCATTGAGCCACTGGGACCCATGGAATCAAACAAAATCCCTGCAAAACCAATACTTGGAGATGCTCACTAGCGATGGACCCTATTCAGGCAGTTAACCCGAGGTTCTACTGGGAAGCCGTGACCAGTAGGATACAGCAGGTTGAAGATGAGGCAGTAACTCATCGAAGAAGACATCGCTAAATGGTTGCGCTATGTTAATGAATTGGCAGAAGTTAGAATTCATAAGCCATTGAATCGGGTTCCATTAGCTCAATGGTCTACGAGCTCGCTAATCTTATAACCAGAAGGTCTTGGGTTCGAACCATGACGGTGGGTGCGTACTGATGAAGAGTCTCAAACTAGGATGAAACAGCTGTCCAGTACTCCCAGGTTTTCCAATGGCTCTCTAACCAATGTCAGCTCATGATGAAATCCTCCATGCAATCAGATAAATATTTAACGACTCATGTGATCACAGGTAAGAGTATAAGGAAAATAAGTTTTGAAAATACTATTGGGTAGATTGAATCTTGGTTCTAAAATTGGACTACCAAGGCAGGTTCGAAGTAATATCAAGCAATGTCTGAACACAAAACGAGTTTAAGCCTTTTTTTTAACTAAGGTATGTTACATTAAAGTGTATCTATAAATATATCTATAAATGGGTGGAAAAGTTCCAGAATAATCTCCGGTTAAGGGTCAAGTTAATACAATTACAATTAGGATTTAAAATGCTATAACAAACAGGGGAGGACGGATAAAACTCAAACAAAGTAGCATCATAATTATTGGGAAGATTTACATATTGTGCAGTTAGGGGGTAGAAATGTAGAAATAACAAAATAGACAGGATGTTTGGATAAAAAATCTAGTAGGATCATAACTTATGTGATAACATACTACTTCACTAGGCGTATTTTATTCATGATTACAATATTACTTACTAGATTTCACCCACTTTCTCACTGAGTGTTTCAAGGTCATTGGTGCAGTCGCACTCCATTTGTATTTACTAGTGCTTAAAGTTTAACTTGGCCAAGGCGTGCTATGAATCAGCGTTTCCCAATGTGGTCTGTGAACCAGCCATTTGACTCTAGTGTAGATTAAACGTTACGTCAGTTACGTCTGAGAGCTCTATAACAACGACGCAGCTCAGAAACAGGCAAATTTGTTAAACAGCCTTTAACACAATCGTTGCTCTTGAAATATGGCTTCTAAGAAATCTAGATGGATATGCTCTCATTTGATCAATTTTATTACCGTCTAATATATCTAAAAAAATATTACTCTATATATTATATGAGAAGATTTACTCTGTTTTTACAATGAACCAAAATCTTCCATTCATTTGTCTTCACTTTGTTTTCATTTTCAGACATTTTATTTGGTACAGTGTTCATCCTGATTATATATTCCTGTTGTATTTCGCTAGATCACATATTACAATAACTGTGAACCTTTTGTTAATTTTTGTGCCAAAGGTTAGTCAGTCAGTATATGTGTTTTCTTTGCTTACCTAATTTGTAACTATAATTTTCACTGGAAATTTACTTTCATTTTAGTATGTATAAGAAGTCAACAACATGAATATTATTATTGTTTCCTTGGGTTCCTAGTGGAACATAGGGCTTCAACTGAACGTCTCCACTTGCCACTTCTGTCTTCTTTCTGCTGTACTTTTCACCTGCATCCATGTTAGTCCATACTGTTTCAACTCCTCTACACACGATCTCCTCCATGTCACCCTTGCACTGACGTCTCACTCGCCGCTTCCCTTTCGGCGTGGTTCCACTCGAGCAATGGTTTGACGCGCGCGCGATGTCACCCAGCGGCCTCCTCAGCGAGTGTCCTGTAGTTGAGACAATGCTCCCTAGATAAGTGAATGAAGTAACCTCTTTCAAATCCCTCCCGTTGATGGTGATGGATAGAGACTTGGTCATCTGATATAATGTCCTCAGGTCCCTATTGCCTGCTGCCTTCTCAGCTTCAGTGGCCAGGTTGTCGTAGAATTGTCTTTTGCCCTTCCTAGCACTCTTCTTCACTTCTTTGTCCAGTGCTGTGTAAGTTGAGCTCATAGTCTCCTTCTCTTGACCGTCTTCGCATTGAATTATTTTCTCTTTCACCATTCTCTTCTCCTTTATTGGCTTCCAAGTGTTCGTTGAGAGCCATTCCTTGTCTTGTCTATTCTTTCTTCCTAAAACCGTTGAACACGTTTCGTTAAAAATCACTTTCAGAGAGTTCCAATGGTCTTTCACGCATTATTCTTCCGTGATGTCACGTAGTGATGTATAAACGTGTAAGGGACATTATCATTCATTCATTCACCTCTCGAATGGAACATAAGGCTTTAACAACACAACTCTATTCCTCTCAGTTCTGTGATATCAGCCACCTCTGCAATTGTCCATACGCTTTCACTCTCTCTCTCTCTTCATATGACCTCTTCAATACAACAGTCGGATACACTGACAGCTGGTCGCTTCATATTCGAGTTCCACTCGAGGGCATCATTTGAATGTCTCCTGAGAGTAATTCCAGATCATATTCATTACCTTGTGTATATTATTTGTTTAAGTCGATGCACTGCCATACTTCCTTCTTGTTTACCCTGAATGACCAGCCATGTGATCTTCAGTATCAAGCGAAAGGGGCAAACTAATGGTGGGAATCCTTATGATGACATAGGCATCGTCATTGAGGCTTACGGAAGTACTGAGTCGAGGCAAGTGTCAAAATCTCGTATCTTGTTTCTTGAGCCTAGTGAGTTCCATAGATATCTCCAAACTGATTTGCTCATTTATGCTTGTTGTGGTTGAAACGTTACTACCTGTCTAGATAAGTAAGTGAAATAGACAACTAGTCTTAAGGTCACTTTAACTTGCAGAGCTAGTGATTCATGACTGGTGTATACGAGTTGTGATGATTCAGTAATGTATAAAAGCACTAATAGTGTATATTATTCGCTTCATTTTGTGTACAGGTTCACTTATTATGAAATTGCTGCGTAGGTTTTATTTGAAATGTAAGGCTACACCCAGCCTTACTTCATAGCCAACTGATGAATAGTAACGTATATTCAAAACTGTATGAGAAAGCTTAATAAAATTAACATTCGAAGTTCAGAAAAACAATTGACATTACCTAAAAGTTGATTAGTGATCCATTTTGGAAATGACTTTCAGAAGTTCAAAATCATTACATTATGTTTTTACTGGTTCCTTTTGTTCCACATAGAACATAGAGTTTCAGCGGTATATCTCCATGACATTTTATTCTCTGCAATGACCTTCAACTGGCTACGCGACTGCCCACAAGCTTACAGTATTTCCCCACGATATGATCTCCTCCATATCCCTATTGGCCGCCCAACTGGTTGTTCCATCTGTAGTGTAGTGCCACTAGGGTGTCTCCGTAGCGTATATCCAATCTATCTTCATTTTCTGATGTATATTTTTTGAGTAATAGGTTTTGAAGTTGTAGTGAGCATCGTTAATTCTAATATCAACCGAAAATGGTGTCAGAACACTGCATCACAGACAATGAAAGGTGGGAATCAGCAGGTATTGGAATATACTTCATTGGATACTTAGGAAATGGCTTTGTTATACTGTATCTATAGTCATAGTTTCAATTTTGAATAGAGTTGAGACTTTGAACTTTTCATGATTATCAAATCAAAACAAAACAGCCTTTCATCGCTTTCGAATTCTACTTGTTATACAGTTAACCTCATTTTAAAATCGCTCGTTAGAAAGCACTTTAGCTAATGAACTGTTTCAGTGAAGCATTTAGGATAACTCTAGTAATAATTGGTGTGTAGGTGGATCGGTAATAGAATGCTTGCCAGCCATTCAAGTGACAGGTTTGGCTTCAACATTCAGCGGACACACCTTGCCTAATCCTGGCGTAATTTACTAGCCGGTAATAAGTTCAGGAAATAGAGAAGATTGGGCATGAGGCTAGGAACCGCTACTGAGGTTCCAATGTTCTAAGTCTTATGCTCTATTCTGAATACAAGGGGAGTTGAACTTAATTGCCTTGATGTTTTTAAAGTTCACATTTGTCAGCTATTTCTCGGATAGAAAAGACAGTTTATTTTCTTGCTTAAATATCGATTAGACGTAAGTAACTGGGATTATTGACCTGCCTTCTAAATACGTTTTCCTGCTTATTAGAGGGAAAAGAACAAGGTATCTTTGCTAAGCTTATTGTTCTTTCCTTTCTAGTCTCATGTTTAATCTCAGCCATTGAGTCTCTGAATATTGTCTAGCGCCAAACATCCCCCAGTCATGAAAGGCAATTTTTTAAAATTGTTGTAGGTGAGTTAAAATAATCAACTGTAACTTCGATGAAAAAAACAAGATGGAGCTAGACTGATATTGTTAGATTGTTGCTGTGTGTCATGAGATAACTAGCGTGGAGAATTTTTCACTATTAATTCAACGATAATAAAATCCGGAGATTTAGTAGTTCTAACAAGTTGTAAACAGGTGTACAAAATAGTTTCTTAACCTTCTCCTTATATAGCCATCAGATATCCACTCATGAGGAAATATATCACTAGAAATTTCTCAACCATTTCGATACTCACTGATCTCCTTCTTTTTCTTTTCAACTTGTTTTTTTTCGTTTTTCTACAGGTTACATTTTTATGTCGTTCATCAAAAAGTCTATACAATACAAGTCGTTCAAGGGGTTCCCCTGGAGCTGTTTTTTCTACAGATCCGCACTTAGCTACTGCTGGAAAGTTGAATCTTGTATCAAATGGTGATTTAGACATTGCTGATGTGAATTTAGCCGATATGGATCCAGAAGTGATACGGGTTAGTTAACGACGTTTAGTAATTTCGTATTATACCTAGACTTTAAGTTTTGTAGGAATTTTGATTAATTTCACTGTGGGTTTCATCAAAAACCGACATCATTTAAGGAATTATGAAAAATAAAAACTCAAAACATTCTGAGTTCGACCCTTGTTGGGGTTATTGATGTGTTATGGCGAAAGAGTACCAAACTAAGACAGAATGGCTGTCCAGCTCTGCTTGGTTTTTAATGGCTCAACATTGATATGTTATGTTAATCAAATGTAGCTACCGCTTAGCGATATACATATTACTGATTAATTGATATGAGTAGTTGGATTCCACTTACACCAATCAGTAGTGCTTGCTGACCAGATTGTCGAAGTGGTGTCAAAGCACCAAACGCCTGTTTCACTGACTTGTGGCCGAACTTATCATCTGTGTGTACTCGATTCGACTAAGCTCAGAGAGTCGAGTCAGTTCAGACTACCCGAATTCTGGCTATCTAGTTGAGCCAACTGGGTGGTAGTACATTGATTTTATTTGCAAATTGTGAATTCAGTTCAACCGTAGCAATGGTTAGATGAACGAAAAAGCTGTTGAGGATTATAAAATGTAAATCTTATTCAGTATGAGATTCTTGTAAATTAGTTAGTATAGTAGCAGGCCTGTATTGTCAGCATTGCTGACGAATAATATGCCACATGTGTACGACGTTAAATAGGAAAAAGAACATAAGAAATGGAAGTGGGAGTATATTGGTGACTGTTTATAATTTTGAAGGGCTAATACAAATGTCTGACGCCTACAACTGGACTAGTTGGATATTCAAGTCTACCTAGAGAACTGGGAAACCCTAATTTCAAATCTGTGGTGTACATGAGCTCTAGAATACGAATGGATCGAATGACGTATGAATTTGTTTTGGTCACCAGAAACCATAGAAATGTAGCTCCTGATGCTGCTCCAGGTTTGAGGCTGATGGCCCCTCGAGACAACGACTTGCTCTGATCTGAGCATCCTGGCAGTATCCTGGTCCTTGCTAAAACCAAGAGATCTTGTGTGATACATCTCATGTGTTTTAGTAGTAATAATAGTTGCGATGCGACTTTACACACTAGAGTAGGATATGATTAGTGTTAATCCGAGATACTTAATACTTAGGTGGTGTATTAAAACCAATCTTATTACAGGACTTGACGACAACAGTCTTAAAATATTCAAGTGCTGCTTCGCAGGGATTTCATCGTGAGCTTACATTGGTTAGAGAACCACTGGAAAACCTGGGAGTACTGGACAGCTATCTCGTCCTTGTTTGAGATCCTGTAGGTGAACGCGCCCACTGGGATTCCAACTGAGGAGCTACCAGTTACAAGGCGAACTGGTAAGCCAATAAGACACTGGAACTCGATCCAATGGCCCATGAATTGCAACTTCTGCCAATTCACGATATAGCGTGACCACTAACCAATGTCTTCGGCGAGTATTTGTCCTCACACCAGACCCGCCATATTCCACTGTTCATGACGTCTCACTAGAATGAGCTTGCTTTGTAGCCAGAAGGTTCTCAGTTCGAACTCCAGTGGGTATGTGCTGATGAAGAGCTCCAAACTACGATGAAACAGGTGTCCAGTACTTCCAGGTTTTCCAATGGTTCTGTAACCAATGTCAGCTCATAATGAAATCCTTTAGCCAATAAAGATAGCTAGAATTCGATAAATGATTGTATTTCTCAACCATCTACGACTTAGTTCTTAGTTTTATCTATCGTAAGGTGATATCTAACTCGATACATCGAGACTTACTTTGATTGAACCCTAATTAACTGGTTTCATGTGCATAGTCCTTTGTTTGGTGCAGACTGTATTCTGTCAGTTGTGTTTGCAATGTGGTCCCCATGCTAGGTGTCTCGGCAGCGTGTGATGCACTTTGAATTGTTGATATTAGAAGGTTGGAGGCATTCGGTGGGCAGATTTAGACCTAGGTTTTTGGAAACTCTACAAGTTAGCTAACAAATCTACTTCGATTTGATAATATTTATTCAGACGAGAAATATAAAACTCTATCTGAATGAGTATTTTGGCAAATGATTACTTCTCTGCTTGAAATAAATTAATATTTTTAAATGCTGTTTTGCAGGGATTTGATTGATTTTGAAGTTTGATCACGGATGGATATCAGTTAGCGAAAGAGTTGCCTCGTCCTAGTTTGGGACTCTTCAGTAGCACGTGCCCACAATACAGCACGTTCAGGTTACGTGGGAAGCTTGTTGACTATTCATTCAGCCAGTGGGGTAGAATTTAATGGTCCATGTATTCTGAGTGATGTTTATCCTTAAATATAACCAATTAAATATTATTGAATTGAATTTTTTTTTTTTGATTTTCCCGTCGATTGATTGGACCGAAGTGCTCGGTCTCAGGTTGACATGTCGGCTTCTTGTGCAGATGCTTCGACGGTGTCTGGGCATTTAATTAGTATACAATTAGTGAATGGTGGCTAGCAGTGGAATCCGACATGTCAACCTGAGACCGAGCACTTCGGTCCAATCAATCGATGGGAAAATCAAAAAAAAATTCAATTAAATAATTAATATGACCCGTTGCACAAGAGGTGGCTCTCGTGGCCCAAGTGGTCTAGTGGATAACGCTTTGGCGTTTGAAACTATGGGCACTGTGTTCGAGCCTCGGTGGGAACATCATCACTCACTGAGAAATGCAGGTACATCCAGCTGACGAATCCCAAATAGGACGAAATGCGCATCCTGGATTCCGCTGCTAGCCACCATCCACTAATTTTATATAAATTAAATATTCTTCTCCAATAAAAATCCGCCGGCATTTTTAACTTTTTGGGTGTTTAACTTTTACTTCCAGCGTGAACTCAAACGTCTGTATACACAGATTGAATTATACAAAACTAAGGCAATGAGAAAGGATAATCCTCATATTAGTAAACGTAGAGGAGGAAGGAAACAACGTCGGTATGTTTTTATACTTAAACAATTCTATTCAATTATTTATTTGGGTATTTATGTGTTAACACTCAATTTATGGAATTTGAGACTTATAACCATTAGAAATGCAAGTGCCGTTTCTGGATAAAATTATAATAATAATAATAATAATAATAATAATATAAAAAAATGAATTTTAAAGATTATCCTTTGGAAGCTATCCGGCATCTAATGCTAAATATATCTGCTTCTCTGTGTCAATCCTGTAATACTATTTATTCCTTGTGTTTGGAGTGGTACATCTCCATTCGCATCCGATTTTCTAATGCTTCGCGGTTTCTACTCCTACTTCACGAGATATGGATATCACCCTCGGATTTGCGTTCAACTCGTCTCTAACCATTCAGGTTTCAAACAGTTCCAAAGAAACCTGTCTTTATCAATTTGCCATTCGAAGGAGATGAAGTACAGGAAGTAGTGAAACGAAGACTCAACAAAGCCATCAAGAGAACTTATTATGCTGCAAAACTTGTTATCCTTAACACCACCAAGCGAGTGCTTCAACAATCTGGGAAAGACCAGTCGCCAATCCTCGACACTTCAAACTGCATATATCAATTTGAGTGTGTTTGTGGCAGCAAATACCATAGGTCGTACGGAAAGGCGATTGTCTACTCGCATGATGGAGCATTTGCCAAAATGGTTGAAAACAGCTAACTGCGTTCAAAGTGCCAAAATCATCATTAACAAAACATCTTGTGGATTACGGACATGATATCGACGCGGTCTAGTCATTCACCATTGTCAGCAAACAAAGAAACAAGAAGATGCTTGCAATTGTGGGGGAGGCTTGTGCAATTCGAGTTTATAAACCAGGTCTCTGTGTTCAAGAGGAGATGATCATCACTCTGAATCTACCATGGTAATACGTTTTACTTATTATTCTCTATTTGTTATTACTATTACTCTACCTCTTCTTCTTATTGTTATTATTATTATTCTTGATTCATCTAAAACTATGCTTTATCCGTAAGATTATCTTAACTCACTTCAACACTATTAAAATTGTTATTATAACTATTACTATTGATATTAGTCTGTTTACAATTCTCGTTATATGCCCTAGTGACTAATTGTTTATCTAAGTGATGTAATTGAAGCGTAATGCAATTTATCTTAATTTTGATCTCTCATACTCTCTCTCCCCTTATCTATTTGAACATGACCTGGAAAACATTCGCACGTGTCTTTCTGCATGACTAATTCAATGTAGTTTATTTACTTATCAGTCTTATATCTCCCAATGTAATTTCAAAAGTATGTATATTCGTGTATGTAGAGTATTCAGCTAACGAGTTCTACCGAAATTTGATAATTTCATCAAATCCTGCTTTATTAACCTTTATTGCTTGTTTTAAATTCAGGTTTCACTCGATAGTCGGCCTGGTGTATGATGTCTCTTGAATGTCTCCTGTTGAACTATAGACCGGTTGGCTGGTGTGCTGTTAGAGTTCCTTATTGATTTTGCTTATCCTATCCAATCATCTGATCTTCAGTACAAAGACCTATCCAGTATCTGTATTCAGCTAGTTAGTTGTATGATCGTTTTGCTTTCTTAAGCCTCACCTTTCAATATCCTCTGTTTCTCTATCTTTAAAATATGCCAAGAAAATTGTATTGCATTCTTATTTTCCGTTCCTTATATTTCAAGTGGAACACCTCAGCTGTGTCTTGTTTCTGCAACGACATTCAACTGACTTTAATACTGTTTGCACCTCCTCCATAAGACCCTCGATTCCATGCCCATCAAACTGTTTCCCTTTCGGGTTCCACTTGACAACCTACCTGGCGTGTGGTGCCGGTTTGCTGTCTCCTCAGCATTTTTCCACGTCATTTCCATTTCTTTCTACATATTGTTTGGGGGTGGGTGGGTGGGTGAGTGGGTGATAAACTGGTTATTTGGTGGGTTCGTTTCTTGTTTTGTTTCTTTATCCTTTCTGTCTGGCCGTCTGATTTTCAGTATCGAACCAGCGAAGTCAGCCAGCTATTGATCAAAGTCTGCAGTAGTCTTTTTGAGATGTCAAATCTGTTACCTTATAGAAGCATTTACCTGATATTACTGTCAATGTTAAATAGTTTATACAATCAGATGACAGATTGTGTAATATGTTAGGATAATAATGGAGTTAAGTCTATGTCAACTTAGAATTTTTGTTCATCACTTCTTCCTACTAACAACTTTTTAAGTAGTATATCTCATTAGAGTGAACTGTATAACAACATAAAGACGAACATTGTATTCAATCATGCTTTACTGTAGTACACACAACTTTGCAAACAAATATTAAACTTACAATAATCACAAAAGATGTTTTCTGACATCTTGCACTAGCTGTCTGGTTATCCTGCCAACATAACTGTCACCACAGGAGCAGTTGGACTGATTACTGCACATGGATGCGGATAAAACTAATTAGCTTGTTTTTTGGTTGAGTAACTACCATTTTTTGAGTAGAAAATGATAGGCGAAAATTGAATTCAACTTGTCTTTTAAATATCCGAATGAAAAGTTTCGTCATATTAAAAAGAATCTCCCAATCTTCTACGTTAAAGCACAGTACGGTTCGGATTATTCTAGACTGTCCGCAAATTGACGTCAAACTTTTATAAAGGCATTTAACTTTGAGCACAAACTGAAAGGTCTCAAGTTACAGATTTTAGTGTCTTAAAGTGAGATATTTTGGAAACCGTACCAACACTACGTAGTGTGGTGAGAGGAGGCTGCTGGCAAATTGGTAGACATTAATTTACGTCAATGTTCATGTCGCAAATATTGGTCGTAAGAAAATATGAACAAGGCTGATTCAACAGCCGATCACAGCAGACTTGGCGTAGGCAGATACAGTTAACATATAGATGACCTGACATTCAAGAAACAGTCACAAAGAGATGCAAGGTCAACTTTCTGTGAGAAACAACCAATCAGAAGACTGTGTTTGTTTGCTTGAATAAGCTATAATAATATATGTGAAAATATATAAATAAGTGTTGATTTCCTTAATAAACGATCTGTTGTCTGACCCTTGTCTTCTGTTGTTACAGTAGTACTCCAGAACTTTATAAATCTCATCTAACAGTTATATTATGATACCGCATTCTGAGCGATTCACACCAGAAAACTCAGAGAAATCTTTGAATTTAAGACAGGAGTCAGGCAAGATTGCTGACTGTCATCTATGATATTCCTGAATATAGTGGGCCGGATCATACGGTAGGTCTAGAGAGTGAGAGGGCAGGAATACGTTTGACCGACAAGAAGACTGTAAATGATTTGAACTTTGCGGACTATATATATTTAATTTATATATATTTAATATCACAGAAACTCGATGATTTGCAGTCGAAAACCGACAAATTGGGAGAAGATACAGGTAGCGAAGACAGAACTCCAAGTGAACATAGAGCCAACAGAGGTGATGAAGATAGCCAGTCACCAACAACAGGCACCATTTACTACCAGCAACAGCGGAAATCTGAAGGAGGCCACCACTTTCATTTATCTCACCTGAGAAGCATCGTTTCAACTACAGGCGGCGACACGGACAAGAATATTAAAGCCAGCCAGGATCGGAAAGGCAGGAAAAACCTTTATTACTCTGAAATCAGTTTGGAACTTTACTGTTCTAAGCATAAAGAACAAAATTCGGATTTTCAAAACTGATGTCAAGTCAGTCAGTTCTTGTTTCTAATCCAAAGACTTGGTGTGTCACTGGAAGCATTTTCAACAAGCGACGACAGACGGTTATAAAAATTTGCCCCCTTCGCTTGATAACGAAGACCAGATAACTGACCAAAGAGGATGGACAGGCAAAAAAGAACTCCAGCAGCGAACCAGCCAAACAAATTTGTCGACCAAAATGGAGATTAATCGAACACACACTTCACGCACCAGTCATTCGAGTAGAACCTGAATGGGAGATGACGAGTTGGGCTTATGTCCATATGCGTGATAGACTAGATGAGACCTCATAGACAAGCGTGGAGCCATCTAAATAGGACTGTAGAGAACAGAATAAAATGGAGATGTTCTGTCGAAGCTCTATGTTCCGCCCGGAACCTACTGATAATAATAAGAGTGAAACATGATTTTGTTTATTACTTTAGCGTCTTTTTTCCTACATCACAGATACTAAACTGTGATAGGAGTCGTTTTTGTGTCCTTGTTTATTAATGTATGCGTTAAACTACATGATTGACGTGTTATAAATGATATTCTACTCCCATTTTAGGTTTTCACTACAACCATTTCATAAACGACATCATGGACAAACATCATCTGTTCTAAGTGGTAATGTTCCATTGGTTGGTATACAATCAGACACAGGGTGTTGTTGTAATGAATGTCAATCATCAAAATTTACCATACGATTATGCCCGCATCATTGTAGTCGACATACAAGCGGGGCAAGTCGTACAGGTTGTTCAGCTACCAGTGGAACAGGAGGAGGAGGAGGTGGTAGTGGGGGAGGTAGTATTAATCGTGGAAATTATTCAACTGTTTTACACGATGAAGAGATCTCCAAACTCTCTGAAGAATCAACAAACAGTGCTGATGATCATTCATCACTCGGTAATCTACTACAAGCTCAACAACAACAACAGCCAACTCATACACAATCATCTCAACAATTACCACAGAGTAAATTGTCTAGCTCAGTGGATGTAAAACACAATGATAAAGAAACAACTGCTGTTGACTACAGTGGAAGTGATACAAAACCTTCGAAGTCTAAATCATCTGGTAAAACAAGATAAAGTTAGTTTAAAAAAATGATTTACTCACAGTTTGCTTTCTCATTCTTTGCCCTTCCCTAGTGGAACATACGGATCTAGGTTTTTGAAATTTTAGTAGCGGTGAAGGTGTGTTGCTAATTTCATGCGTATCTTCGTCTCTTTTCCGGACTCACTGTCAGCTAGTAAAACAGGCGAGGTTGAGGAGTGGATCGTCCAGGAACTGAACCTTGGTTATGTACGTAATTTTCTATAGTTTGGTTTTTAAGGGCTAGTTATGCTTTTACAAGTTGATCTTGGGCTCGAATCCCATTGGGAGCGTACTGCGGATGACTCCCAAACTAGGAATAAACAGCTGTTGATCCATATTTCCCACTTGGGACTCATGATAGTACCATTCTAGTTATTTATAGCTAGCAAAACAAACAAGTTGCTGGATTGTGTACTTTTTCGATATGTGTCCTATCTTAATAGTTATTTAAATACTCTTAGTAAGCATGTGCTCTTATATCGCTCTTCTTGGATGCTCTCATTAACCGTTACTTATCAGAAATCTGAAGTATACATCATTATCATTTGAAATAACCTGCGTCATCACTTAAAATAAAGGCATACAAGACAGCTACTCTGTCTCCTCTCTATGACTGTTTACAATATCTATCACCAGCTATTGGGTGGAACATAACATGTATCAGGAGTGACTTGCTTTTCAGTAGTGCTGAATATTATAATGTTGGTTCTTGACAATGTCCTGTTAAGCAGAGGGCCCTAAATTTAAACATCAGCAAAGATTTCGAGGAAATTAGTCGTATTAGCTAGTTAATACTCCCCCACTCACACTTAATCTCAGCACTTTATTAGCCAGTTGAGTTAAAAGCTTTATTACCGCCGGCTTTTAAATGAATTAAGAAGCGAGTTCGAATTCCGTTCGGAAGACTCGATAGAATGAGATAGATAACTTTGTTTGTCATTTTCCAGCCGATCAATTATGATCGCTCAAGCGAAGTACAAGCTACCTAGCTGTGCCACTCCTATATGTATCTACAAATTTATCTATTCCTTTGGAGAAAGCCTTTTACACATACCCGAAGCTATGGGAATTCGAGAGAACAATCCTAGTCTTTTGAATACAAACGAAGTTTGTTCTATCTTTGTCTCTCTCTCTCTCTCCCTTGCTTACCTAGGTAAATTGTCATCAAAACCCTCCCACCCTTTCTTATTTTCCATTCTCTTCGTACTTTTATGATAGTGATTTAAACTCTGATTATCCATCCACTTCACCTTTAGTATTATGTAACTTTTAAGGTTTGGCCTAATTTATTTATTGCATTGTCTACATATACACATACTCCCTTCCTTATTCTTATCGCCACTTGCATAAACTTTATTATCATTATTTCGTTAATAATAATAATAATAACAGCTTTATTCCAAACAGTATTTGTGGTACAGGTATGGAATTTTCAGCGTGCATTACAATATATTGCATCTAATTAATTACCTCATAAATTTTATAAGATTTTAAAATCAAAAAGCAACACCTAAAAAAAGATAAATAAAACATTTTAAACAATGCACCACAGGATATGAAGTATAAAATTGGTGTATAATAGAAGATAAGAACAACAGTGTAATAGTAACGAGGAAAGGAAAACAAAAACTAATGGGACTATTTGTTAGAGTGCCGCAGTAAGTTGATCATGTCATACCTAACGGATTTCTCATCACATAACAGCTGTGCCAGATATGGTATTGTGGAGTTTTTGTACTTGGTAGTCCTAGCATATAGCCTCTTAAAGGTGCTTCTAGTTCTACCAGATGTGACATGCAAGGAGAGAGCCTCATATAGAGAGGATGCTCGGAGTCTGACAATATTGTATTCGCTAGTTTCTTACATGATATAATATGTCTATCTACAACAGTGTTAACCAGTCGGTTTAACGATATCCCACTTGCCTACTAACGGCTCTTAGTACCCTTCTCAGTAAAGCAAAGTCTTTCTTAAGTAGTTCAGGAAAGATTAATGGGGAGCAGTAAAGGGGGATGGGTAGAATGCAAGTATTGACAAACTAAGAAAGCAAAGACTGCTTTATACCAGACTGCCTAAATTTCCTAATGGATAACGTTAAGCAAAACATCTTTCATTATAATCATCGTTATTACTGATGTTCAAAACATTTACCACATTATTGTTATTATTATTTGATCCACAAACTCACCATCATTGGTTAAAACTTTCGTCTATGTAAACTGGAGTCGGTGGCACAGAGGTAGATTGCTCGCCAACCACGCAATTTGTCCGGGGTTCGATCCCTGGCCACAGACGCACTCCTTTACCTCACCAATCCAGTAATAAGGCTGGTAAGGAAGGAAGGTTGGGTATGAGTCTAGCAACCCCATCCTGTAAAAATAAACACCCCTGCTACCGAAACGTCAAGCCACTAGCTTGAAGCCGTATGTTCCACTGGGAACCTGAAGGAATAAAAAAAAAAGAGTAAAGCCTGATAAAGATCTAATTGAAAACAACAATGTTGTTCGCTTATATTGTCTTATTCTAATATTAATAATGGGAATATTTAAAGAATTAAAAAGCCTCTACATAAATTATTCTAATTGTGTGTATTTAATGTATGTTTTTCCCCTTCAGATCTCATGTTAACCCCATGGTAAAATATGAAAGCAATACAGACATTTGGATATAGAACAAGTGACCCAACATCGATTTCACCTTCTCCCTTTGTCTCCAGATCACTTCCTCTTACCCTGATCAGGAGGGGTAAGTGCATATGTTTACCGTGTGTGCATACTCACACACACACACACATACACACACGCATACACATACGTGTGGCTGTCCAAATTGCATAAGTATGTGATTGATACATTCAAATAATTTTTATTACCAAAGTTAACGAACGGATTAACTGCTGCTGCTGCTTTCTTCTTCCTCTTTCTTGTAAAGAATAAGTAGTATAAAATTTTGTGGAGAAAAAAACAAACAAACAACCAAACAAAAGAAACCTCTGTAAAGTATATTTTATCAACTTGTATTTGTTGTTTCTTTCTTTTTGTTTTTGCGACCTGTTTTCGTTGTTGTTGTTGTTTTGTTATCGTTATTATTGTTACTGTCGCTATTATCATTTTGCTATCACATTATGATTACTACCACTGAAGTTATTACTATTACTATTATTGTTATTATTATTATGATTATGAATATTAAAGAAACTCTTTCTGTTCTTCTCTGTCCTCCCCCTCTCTCTCTCTTTCCACTTCTTTTTTTATCACTCCCGAGTGGTCTTAGTTATTTCACCTGATCCGTGTTCATTGAATCACCCCATGTCTTCTTCTTCTAACACTGTACTGATGATATTTTCTGTGATGATAATATACTGACGTCTGTCTGTTTACCTCTCTCTCTCTCTCTCCCTTTCTCTTTATTTTAATCATTTGAACAATTCTTTATATACATCAGGTTTCAATTATCCATTGTGTGAATTGTCAACAGAGAAATGTTTTGTATATTCAACAGTTTTTTTCCTAAAACATCTTTCCACTGTTCTAAGGTTTTCCGCATCTTCTGCTCTAGTTTTCTCCGTTGTCTTTTCTTTTTTTTTGTTTTATTTTTTACAAATAAGAATGTTTATCTTAAATCCTAAAAGGGGACTCGTACAGTACACGAATAAAATAACAATAACAGCAACAGCAACAACAACCACGACGATGATGATTTAAACAAAAACCTACTTATTATTTGTGATGTTAATAAATCTATATATATATATACATATAAATAATAAACGTATGTTATTATTTCAATGAAATGGGAGAGTTTATTACTATTAATCATTATTATTGCTACCTTGGGTTCCAAGTGAGGGACATTCGGCTTCAACAGCACATCTCCACTCTGTACTATTCTCTGCTGTCCTCTCTAGCTGGCTGCACAACTGTCTATAGTCTCTCATCTCCTCCTCCTCCTCCTCCTCATACGGTCTCCTCCATGTCACCCTTGAACCAACCCTCCCCCCCCAACTCGTCGTTTCTCATTCAGGTTCCACTTAGCCGCGGTGGCCTGACGCGCGATATCATTCAATGGTCGCCTCAGCGTGTGTCCGGTCCATCTTCATTTTCTTCAGCATCTTTTTGTTGCCAGTAGGTTCTTGGTTGGTTTGTTCCTAGAGTTTCTGTTTGTTTATTCTTTAGGATCGTATAATCCTCACTATGGAGTGAAGGCAGCTGTCAGTTAAAGTCTGCAAGAGCCTGTTGAAAATGGTTTTCGTGATGCGCCAAAAAATGGGGGAATAGTTTAATTTAATTTATTAGAAATTTTTATTTTTCAAGAGTTAATTTCTAGGGATTTGATATATCTCAAGTTTTATTACAGATTGATATCCAGTTGGAGAACCATTGATAACCGTCAGGGAGTACTGGTTCGGGACTCATTATTATTAGATTTGGATAGTCTCTGGAACAAAATAACACTCGATAACTCTCCATTAAACTTCATGAACTCTCTTACAAATTGCCGCGCCTGGGCAGCGATGATTCGAGACGTTCATGAAGCCGGCTCATCCTCCCGTAGGAGATAGCCGAAGTAAAGTAAAGTAAAGTAAGTAATTACAAGTGTTGGTTTTCAGGGATTTCATCATGAGCTGATATTGGTTAGAAAAAAAATTAGAAAACCTGGGAGTACTGGACAGCTGTTTCGTCCTAGTTTGGGACCCTTCAGTAATGACCAGTAGGGTATAGCAGGTCGGGTGTGAGGACTAATACTCGGCGATGACATTGAATAGGGGTCACTTTATGTCGTGAATTGGAAGAATTTGGAATTCACAGACTGGCCATTGACCGGGTCCCAGTGGCTTAGTTGTCTACGAGCTCGTCTTGCAGCCGAAGGGTCCTGGACTTGAACCCCAGGCGGTGAGTACATACTGCGAAGAGTCCCAAACTAGGATGAAATAGCTGTCCAGTATTATCAGCTGGTTTTCCAATGGTTTTCTGACCGATGTCAGTTCATGATGAAATCTTGAAATTGTAATTTAATAAATAACTCTTTCTTATGTGCTGCCTTCGTCTCTAGTTCTCCATGTTATTCATTTACATGTTTTTTTTATTGAATCCACTCAGATATCTCATCCACAGCAAGGACTCATGATTATATCCAAATTCCTTTCGTAAATAATCTACCCAATATTTCCTCTTTGTTCTACTCTTTCGGAGACAATTGTGTTAAGCGTACTGCTAGATAATAGCTCTATCGTGGTTTGGTAAGGGACAGATAAAAACTATCCTAAGCTCCGCTTTGTCGCATTTAGTTGATAGCAATCACTCAGTAGGAAAAACGAAGTCATTTAAGGTGATTCATCACAGCCCATTGTATCTTTCCTACGGTGTTCGTTTTCGTCTACTGTATATAACTGAGGTGATTGACATTGGAATTATAAGGCCTAAGCTACGCAATCAGAAGAAGTTCGTACAGATATTATTCCTCCCTTGATCAACTTATTGTAGTATCAGTATCACTTGTACATATATAATCCATTTCTTGTCATTTTTTATTAACCCTCCCTCAGTCTTATTGATTCTTAATTAGAACGTTGTTTGGCCAAGTTAAACTTTGAGCAGTAGTAAATGTGAATGGAGTGCGACCGCACTTATAACCTTGAAACACTCACTGAGCAAGTTAGTAAATACTGTAATCATGAATAAAATATGCCTAATGAAGTGTTGTGTAATCAAATAGGATATTTGGCTAGTTTTTGGTTGTTCGGGTATAAGCGCGAAATTAGTGTGGCTTCAAGTTAGTTTAGGGAGATATTTTCACTTTATGGTTAGATTAAGGAAAGATTAGGGTTAGAAGACCCAGACAATTACATGCACAGAATGTGGTTAAATTACTTTGTTGATACTCTGATACCAAATGTGAGGTATTTTTGTCATACGTCAGAGAAAGGTACCCTGTATTATAACAGTTTCATGTCTTGTAATTCTTCATTATTTACATGAATGTATGTATTTTATAGGCAAAAATTGTCTTTATCATATGGTTGGTGCGTTCAAGGTCATTTGTCCGTTGGTATTCACTGGTGCTTAAAGTTTAGCTTTGCCCTTAGTTTATAATACTCTCAATCAGAAATATAAAATGATTAGTCCCTTTAATAATTTCTGATAGTGTTATTAGAAGATGGGGTTTATCTGAAGTATGTTCTAATCTATTTGAAGAAGACATTTCTGACCACACATTTAATTGTTAATCTAATTTATATGAGAAATAAAGGCCCATTAGAACAAACAACGTGATAAAAGGATTTAAGAATAATAGGAATAATTAACACTATGCTTGGTTATCTAATCAGATAAAGATTACCAAGGTAGATGAAGAGTTATAGTAAATTATTTTCGCACACACACACACACATGTGTGTTCGCTTTGTCCTTTTTTAGGGCTTTGAGAAATGGTCATTGAAAGTGGAAG